GCTGTACCAGTGCATTCATGTATTTCTGCGGTTGCATTAGTTTTCACCTCATGCATTTTGCCACTCTGTGGTTATGTATGTACACAGTAAGGATTGACTTGTCTTGGTGAATTGACCCCTTTATCAGTATGTAATGCCATTCTATCACTGTATTTTCATGCTATGAAGTCAGCTTTTTCTGAAATTAATAAGGCTGTGACAGCTTTTTTTTTTTTTTTTTTGAGATAGAGTGTTGCTCTTGTTGCCCAGGCTGGAAGTACAGTGGTGCCATCTCGGCTCACTGCAACCTCTGCCTCCCAGGTTCAAGCAATTATCCTGCCTCAGCCTCCTGAGTAGCTGGGATTATAGGCACATGCCACCATGCCAGGCTAATTTTTTGAATCTTTAGTAGAGATGGGGTTTCATCATATTGGCCAGGCTGACCTCAAACTCTTGACCTCAGGTCATCCCACCTCGGCAGGGATTACAGGTGTGAGCCACCACACCCAGCTGGCTGTGCCAGTTTTTAAAAAAATAGTGTTGGCCAGGTGTGGTGTCTCATGCCTGTAATCCCGGCACTTTGGGAGGCTGACGCAGGTGGATCACGAGGTCAAGAGATAGAGACCATCCTGGCCAACGTGGTGAAACCCTGTCTCTACTAAAAATACAAAAATTAGCCAGATATGATGGTATGCACCTGTAATCCCAGCTACTCAGGAGGCCGAAGCAGAAGGAATCGCTCAAACCCTGGAGGCAGAGGTTGCAGTGAGCTGAGATCTTGCCATTGCACTCCAGCCTGGGTGACAAAGCGAAACTCCGTTTCAAGAAAAAAAAAATAGGGTTAGCATAATATCTCTTTTTCTGTTCCTTTATTTTTAATATATATTTGTGACATATTTAAAGTGGGTTTATTGGCCTAGGCATGGTGGCTCACACCTGTAATCCCAGCACTTTGGGAAGCTGAGGCAGTAGGATTGCTTGAGACCAGGAGTTTGAGACAAGTCTGGGCAACATAGTGAGACCCCATCACTATAAAAAAAAAACAACAAAATTATCCAGGGCTGGTAGTGTGCACCTGTAGTCCCAGCTACTCAGAGGCTAAGGTAAGAGAGTCCTTTGAGCCCCGGAATTTGAGGTTTTAGTCATCTATCATCCCACAACTGCACTCCAGCCTGGGTGACAGAGTATGACCCTGTCTCTAAAAAACAATAGTTAAAACAGTTGGATTTCTTGTAGACAACGTGTATTAGATACTCTTTTTTTTTTTTTTTTCCCCACTGTGACAGCAACAGTGAGCTGAGATTGTATCACCGTAATCCAGCCTAGGCAACAGAGTAAGACTCCATCTCAAAAAATTAAAAAAATGTAAATAAATTTCTGGTGTGACAATTTCAACGTCTCTTTTATATCTCAGTCTGGTTCTGGTGGCTGCACTCTCTCTTCAAACCTTCTCAGTCTTTTTTTTTTTTTTTGAGATGGTGTCTTGCTCTTTTACTCAGACTGGAGTGCAGTGGTGCAATCTTGGCTCTCTGCAACTTCTGCCTCCTGGGTTCAAGTGATTCTCCCGCATCAGCCTCCCGAGTAGCTGGGGTTACAGACATGTGCCAACATACTTGGCTAATTTTTTGTACTTTTAGTAGAAACGGGATTTCACCATGTTAGCCAGGATGGTCTCTATGTCCTGGCTTCAGGTGATCTGCCAGACTCGGCCTCCCAAAGTGCTGGGGTTACAGGCATGAGCCACTGTGCCCAGCCAAACCATCTAAGTCTTTTATTATATCTTGTAATTTTTTTGTTGAAATGTGGGCATTGTGTTGAAAAGGAACTGAGGCAAACAGGCTTTAAATGCGAGGATTTAGGTTTATGCTATTGATTTTACGCTGTATACTATTCTCAGTAGCTGTAGGTGTCAGAAGATAAAATTGCACTTGATGTTCCTGGTTTTCTGTGTTCTGTCATTTTTGGGGTTCTCTAGAGATTTCTTCAGTTGTGAAACATGCAGAAAGAAACAGTGGAACATTCTTTCATTGTATTCTACTGTTGTATTTTATTTACATTATTTTATTTTATTTTTTTGAGATGGGAGTCTTACTCTGTCACCCAGACTGAAGTGCAGTAGTGCCATCTCGGCTCACTGTAACCTCTGCCTCTTCGATTTAAGTGATTCTTCTCCCTCAGCCTCCCAAGTAGCTGGAATTACAGGCATGCACCACCACACCCAGCTAATTTTTGTATTTTAGTAAAGACAGGGTTTCACTGTGTTGGCCAGGCTGGTCTCAAACTCCTTACCTCAAGTGATCCACTGCCTCGGCCTCCCAAAGTGCTGGGATTACAGGGCCACTACGTCCAGCCCTACTCTACTGTTTTAAAACAAAAACCCAGACCAGATGAATTGACTCATGCCTGTAATCCTAGCACTTTGGGAGGCCAAGATGGGTGGATTACTTGAGGTCAGGAGTTCAAGACCAGCCTGGCCAACATGGAGAAATCCTATCTATACTAAAAATACAAAATTAGCTGGGCTAGTGGTGTATCTGTAATCCCAGCTACTTGGATGGCTGAAGCAGAATTCCTTGAACTCTGAAAGCGGAGGTTGCAGTGAGTCAAGATTGTGTCAGTGCACTCCAGCTTGGGTGACAGAGGGAGACCGGGTCTCAAAACAACAACAACAAAAAACTGAAACCTGGGCCGGGCACGGTGGCTCAAGCCTCTAATCCCAGCACTTGGGAGGCCGAGGTGGGTGGATCACGAGGTCAAGGGATCGAGACCATCCTGGTCAACATGGTGAAACCCCGTCTCTGCTAAAAATACAAAAAATTAGCTGGGCATGGTGGCGCGTGCCTGTAATCCCAGCTACTCAGGAGGCTGAGGCAGGAGAATTGCCTGAACCCAGGGGGCAGAGGTTGCGGTGAGCCGAGATCGTGCCATTGCACTCCAGCCTGGGTAACAAGAGCGAAACTCCGTCTCAAATTAAAAAAAAAACAAAAACAAAAAACCTGAATGACACACTTTAACCAGTGGCTGGAGTGGAAACATGATATAATTCTATGAATCATCTGTCTTCTGGTGAGCCTGTGTCCCTGAGCCATGATGTTCTGTGCTGTGATAAGAAAGACATGTGGTCTTTGTGTGTGGTTCCTGGTACAGAGTTCCTAAATCTCTTGGAATTTCATGAGTGATAAGGGTAATAGGAGCCTCTTTTGTTGTAAAGAAATGACTACTGGAACTGCTACCTAACTTCAGGGTGGGGATTGATGTCCAGAAAGACACCCAGCCTTGATCTTTCAACAGCACTAGCCCCTAAACTCAGGGGAGAGAAAAAGGGCTGGAGGTTGAGTGCTTGAACTCCTGACCTCAAGTGATCCACCTGCCTTAGCCTCCCGAAGTGCTGGGATGACAGATGTGAGCCACTGCACCTGGGCTTTGATGCTCACAGCTTTAAGACCTCATTCCTCAGTTTCCACTGTGTATCCCATATACAGATGTGGTAGGAGGAAAGCCTGGGTCACCCTCATTTGGTGCTGGCAAGACAGCCAGTTCGCATCAGCCTCTGCCTATTTGCTTGAACTCTCACGCTAGCCCACTCCCGAATGTCAGAACAGATCCCCAGCCAGGCTCCTTTTCTTGCTCTCTCAAGCCATTTCACAAGTGCTCGAGCGCCTATGCAGCTTTCCCTGAGATCTTGAGCATGTGAGTAATAAACCCTTTCATGAGTTTAGGGGTTTTGTAGAGGTTCAAGTTGCTATGCTTTCTTTCCAGTAACCTCCTAGACCCACGAAATGAAATAGAGAAAGGAAAAACTGAACCTATGATAAATATTACACAAAAATGTGGAAATTAATACTTGTTCAAAGGAATATTTTCATTCAGTCATCTGGCTTTCCACAGACTTCCTGATCTCTCATGTTCACCCTTTTTAATTTTTTTTTTTTGAGACAGAGTCTTGCTCTGTTGCCAGGCTGGAGTGCAGTGGCGTGATCTCAGCTCACTGCAACCTCCGCTTCCCAGGTTCAAGCAATTCTTCTGCCTCAGCCTCCTGAGTAACTGGGAATACAGATGCATGCCACCATGCCCAGCCAATTTTTACATTTTTAGTAGAGATGGGGTTTCATCATGTTGGCCAGGATGGTCTTGATCTCCTGACCTCATGATCCACCCACCTTGGCCTCCCAAAGTGCTGGGATTACAGGTGTGCACCACTGCACCTGGCCCTGATCTCTCATGTTCTTGGAGAAAAAGAAAAAGCTGGCTGGGCTTGGTGGCTCATGCCTGTAATCCCAGCACTTTGGGAAACTGAGGTGGGCAGATCATGAGGTCAGGAGCTCAAGACCAGCCTGACCAATATGGTGAAACCCCATCTTTACTAAAAATACAAAAATTAGTTGGGAATAGCGGCTTGCCCCTGTAATCCCAGCTACTCAGGAGGCTGAGGGAGGAGAATCACTTGGATCCAGGAGGCAGAAGTTGCAGTGAGCAGAGATTGCGCCACTGCACTACAGCCTGGACAACAGAGTGAGACTGTCTCAGAAAAAAAAAAAAAAGAAAAGAGAAAGCTTATACTTTTTTATCCTCAATGGGAGATGTGCAGCTTATAGTCTAAAAGGTGTATTGGTTTATTAAAATCTCATCCAGATTTGACCCCAAGTTTCATGAAATGCTGAGTGATATGGTGTGTAATAAGGTAGAAAATGAAAGAGTTTTTCTCACAAGGAATTGATGGTCTTCAAATTTGTTTCATTTGTATAGCATTTCTCCCACATCTCCAAGGTGGTCTTGGATCTGCATTTAAATAACAGGCTTCATGTGGTCACAGTTAAAATATAGAAACAATTTCTGTGTGTTCATGATAGTGTCAAATTTATGAGGAAGTGAGTGTGGTAAGAGTCAGAGTTCTGACACCCAAGTCATGCCACTGAACTGAGACCACAGGATTATATGGAATTTCTCAGGAATTCTGAGTATGGATCCTCACTACTGCCATTCTCACCCATCCTCCTCTACACACATGTGGGATGTTTTAGGACTCCATCTCCCTTGAGGATGTGGCTGTGAACTTCACCCTGGAGGAGTGGGCTTTGCTGGATCCCGGCCAGAGGAATATCTACAGAGATGTGATGCGGGCAACCTTCAAGAACCTGGCCTGTATAGGTAAGGGCGACATCATTTCTTGACTTAATTTAGAACAAGTGTTTCTTGCACAACTGTTTTCCAAGATTTAAAATGTGGGAAGGGAATACTCAGGTCGGTAAACCCGACGATAAGGTCATAGCTAATTACAGACCTTAGAGTGTTACAATTTTCTGTAATTTCTAATAATTTAGAGTGAGTTTTCTGGGTCTGTATTTTAGGGGAAAAATGGAAAGACCAGGATATTGAAGATGACCCCAAAAACCAGGGAAGAAATCTAAGGTGAGTTGCATTCACCAGAGTAATTATATGGCCCATGAGGGAATCTTAGTATTTCATAAATTTCAAAAGCCAAGCAAGCAAAACAATAAGCACAGCTGCAAGTTTATTCATTCTTAGAAAATTTTTACTAAAAATGTTTCATGGAAACTGTCATGGGCTGGGCTGGGTGGCTAATGTCTCTAATCCCAGCCATTGGGAGGTGAAGGGTGGAGAATTGCTTGAGGCCAGGAATTCAAGACCAGCCTGGTCAACATAGTGAGAATCTGTCTCTACCCAAAAAAAAAAAAAAAAAAAAAAAAAGTCATAGATGTTCAGGGTATGAAGATAAATCACTATGAAACAGTATTAAAAAATCCTGGCCAGGGCTGGATACAGTGGCTCACCCCTGTAATCTCAGCACTTTGGGAGGCTGAGGCAGGCGGATCACGAGGTCAGGAGATCAACACCATCCTGGCCAACATGGTGAAACCTCATCTCTACTAAAAATACAAAAATTAGCTGGGTGTGGTGGCATGCTCCTGTAGTCCCAGCTACTCAGGAGGCTGAGGCAGGAGAATTGCTTCAACCCAGGACGCAGAGGTTGCAGTGAGCCGAGATTGTGCCACTGTACTCCAGCCTGGCGCTTGGTGACAGAGTGAGGCTCTGCCTCAAAAAAAAAAAAAAAAAAAAATCCTGGTCGAGGAAGGTGGCTCACGCCTGTAATCCCAATATTTTGGGAGGCTAAGGCAGGCAGATTATCTGAGGTCAGGAGTTCAAGACTAGCCTGACCAACATGGAGTAACCCTATCCCTACTAAAAAAAAATACAAAATTAGCTGGGCATGGTGGCACATGCCCAGCTACTTAGGAGGCTGAGGCAGGAGAATCGCTTGAACCTGGGAGGTGGAGGTTACAGTGAGCCAACATCACATCATTGCACTCCAGCCCGAGCAACAAGAGCAAAATTTCATTTCAAAAAAAAAAAAAAAAAATCCTGGCTATTTTGATAATAGCTATGATCACAGCCTGTTCTAGAGTATTCAGTGTATTAGCTTTCAATCAGTTTAGACAGGGCAAATAACATACAGTGTCTCTGAAAATATTAAAAATGTAATTCTGGTACTTGGTAATAAATATAATATCATTAATACAAAACTACTAATAAAAAAATGATACTCATTTTTTACAGAGGTCCTATGGTTGAAACACTCTGTGAAAATAAAGAAGATCGTGAGTGTGGAAAAAGCACTAGCCAGATTCCTGATCTGGATATTAACCTGGACACTCCTACTGGATTAAAACCGTGTGACTGTGGTGTGTGTGGGGAAGTCTTCATGCATCAGGTCTCCCTCAATAGACACATGAGGTCTCACAATGACCAGAAACCAAATGAGTATCACGAATTTGGAGAGAAGCCACATAAATGTAAAGAATGTGGGAAAACCTTCACTCGCAGCTCCAGTATTCGAACCCATGAAAGAATTCACACTGGAGAGAAACCCTATGAATGTAAGGAATGTGGGAAAGCCTTTGCATTTCTCTTTTCCTTCCGAAACCACATAAGAATTCATACTGGAGAGACACCCTACGAATGTAAGGAGTGTGGGAAGGCGTTCAGATATCTTACTGCTCTTCGGCGCCATGAAAAAAATCACACTGGAGAGAAACCCTACAAATGTAAGCAGTGTGGAAAAGCCTTTATATATTACCAGCCTTTTCTAACCCATGAAAGGACTCACACTGGAGAGAAACCTTATGAATGTAAGCAATGTGGGAAAGCCTTCAGTTGTCCCACGTACTTACGAAGTCATGAGAAAACTCATACCGGAGAGAAACCCTTCGTATGTAGGGAATGTGGAAGAGCCTTCTTTTCTCACTCAAGCCTTCGAAAACATGTGAAAACCCACACCGGAGTTCAACCTTATACATGTAAGAAATGTGGGGAAGCTTTCAAGTCTTCTAGTTCCTGTGAAGTGCATGAAAGAACTCATTTTGGAGAAAAACCCTACGAATGTAAACAGTGTGGTAAAGCCTTCAATTCTTCAAGTTACCTTCAATTGCATGAAAGAGTTCACACTGGAGAGAAAACTTATGAATGTAAAGAATGTGGTAAAGCCTTTCTTTATTCCACTCACTTTCGAATTCATGAAAGAACCCATACTAGAGAGAAACCCTATGAATGCAAACAGTGTGGTCGAGTCTTCATTTACTTCAGTCACCTTCGCAGGCACGAAAGAAGTCACACTGGGGTGAAACCATGTGAGTGTAAGCAGTGTGGCAAAGCTTTCACCTGTTTAAATTCCCTGAAAGTACACAAAAGAATTCATACCGGAGAAAGACCCTTTCAGTGTAGACAATGTGGTAAAGCCTTCAGTTATTCAAAGTCTTTGCACGTGCATGAAAGGACTCATGCTAGAGGGAAGCCCTAAGAATGTAAGCAACGTTGTAATGCAGTCGGTTGTATTAGTTACTTGTGAATGTATGAGAGTACTTAGGCCTGAGAGAAAGTCCAGGAACGTAAACACTGTGATGAAGCCTTCGGTTGTCCTGATTTACTTTGAAGACATGACTCATGTGGCAATGAAATATTTTACAAAAGTGGGAGGAACTTCCACTCTCCTGTAGGATTACAAATATATCAATGGACTCCATGGACAGAAACCCTAAGAGTGTAAGGGGTGTGAGAAAGCTTTCACTTCACATAATCTTTTGAAGACACCTGAGAATATATACTGGAGAGAAACTATAAAAAATGTGAGAAATTCTTCATCCCAGGTTTTTGTTTTGTTTTTTGAGATGGAGTTTCACTCTTGTTGCCTAGGCTAGAGTGCAGCGGCATGATCTCTGCTCACCACAACCTCCACTGCCCGGGTTCAAGCAATTCTGCCTCAGCCTCCCGGGTAGCTGGGTTTAAAGACATGTGCCATCATGCCCAGCTAATTTTGTTTATTTTTTGAGATGGGAGTTTCGCTCTTGTTACCCAGGCTGGAGTGCAATGGCGCTATCTCGGCTCACCGCAACCTCTGCCTCCTGGGTTCAGGCAATTCTCCTGCCTCAGCCTCCCGAGTAGCAGGGATTACAGGCACGCGCCACCGTGCCCAGCTAATTTTTTTGTTTTTAGTAGAGACGGGGTTTCACCATATTGACCAGGATGGTCTCGATCTCTTGACCTTGTGATCCACCCACCTCGGCCTCCCAAAGTGCTGGGATTACAGGTGTGAGCCACTGCGCCCGGCCCTAATTTTGTATTTTTGATAGAGAAAGGGTTTCACGGTGTTGGTCAGGCTGGTCTCTGTCTTCTGACCTCAAATGATCCACCCACCTCAGCCTGCCAAACTGCTGAGATTACAGGTGTGAGCTACCGTGCCTGGCCGTAGCCTTCTTAAATGTAAGCAGTATGGGAACATCTTCAATTACATATGCAACCATTGTTGAGATCCTTCTTAGGAAGAATTAAAGGAATGGGGAAGAAGGACTTGGGCCCCAGCAGGCCTTTTGTGGCACCAAGTCTGAAGTTAGGAAAAACCCTCTAGGGCAGCGCCTGCCCTTGGCTCACATGCAACTGGATAGAAATGATAAGACTCCCAGAATCTGCCTTTAAGTTTTCATCAGTGTCCTCGGGTCAGACTGTGGGAATGCTGTGCTTCTAAAACAAAGGTGCATCCCGTTATCCTCCCCAAGTGAGATCTGCCTGTGGACATCCTAATTCACAGACATGATCGGCATTGCATTATTCCAGGACTGTTTGAGGTCATCTCCAGCTTTGCTTCCCATCTCAAACCTACACTTTGGATATTTGCTGGGAAACACATTTAAACATTCATATCCAAATTTCTCTGTGGCAACCCCAGACGGCTCTGAGATGAGAGGGCTGCAGAAGCAGAACTTGTGTCATGGGACACATGCCCCTTGACCACACAGCATCCACTGTCCTATAATTTCCAGCCCTGTACCAACCACCACAGTCAGAATAATCTCAAAACTGCTGGTGGAGTCACAAAGACATACTCTGCCATGTCTTAGCTGTAGGACACTCAAAATTCTTACCTCCCCTAAGTTGCTTACCCTGTTTTCTGGCACATTCTACCCTGAGATAATTCAGTGGCATATGCACTGATGATGCTCTGGCCTTCTCACCTCAGTGCATGCCACATGCATGCTGCTCCAGGACTGGTTTCATAGCCTCCCACTAAGACTAGCACCTGGCTCTTTTTGGAAAAGGACCCACCCTGCAGTGCTCCAACTCTTGTGTGTGGGAGGTGCTGGTGTCAGGGTTCACAGGCCATGGAACTGCCTTGCTTCACATCACAAGGCAAGATGAACTCGACTCCCAGTAAATTGCTTCCTGGAGCTACTGAAGTTTTCTCCCGTCTCTGAATTGCACAGGCATGAGAGGTGTGGGGTCTGACCCTTGTTGGGGTCAGTCCCCCTTTTTCTTAGAGAGCAAGTCAGTGTGTTCTAGAAGGGAAGTGGCAGCATTGAGGGAAACCAGGTCACCATCCACACTTGTAACAACTTATGGTCTCCCTGGGTCCTAGAAGTGATCTGTCGCTTGGAGACCTGTGGAACTCCCTAGGCCTCTGGTCTCTACCCTCCCTCAGCAGCAGGGATGGGTGATGGGTCACATGGCAGCATCCAAAACCAAGATACAAGAGTCCAGAGGCTGACTGGAGCAAGGTTTGCTGGCAGATGAGGCCTCAGTGGAAGTGACGGCTACTGTAGAGCTGCGGTGGAAGATCTGGTGGCTGAGCCATGAGATACACACCTTTGCTTCTCTCACCAGGAACATTTATGGTAGTTTGAGGGGTTGGAACATTATTACTCAACCCATTTCAGGTCCCTCTTTTTCACATTCTTGGGCTGCCATGTTGTGCTTTTGTAGAGATGTGGGAGTCAGCTGCCATGTTGTGCTTTTGTACTGTGGGAGCTCAGGAAGTTTGAAATTCCTTCACTATCAGAATGGGCTCAAGGAGCCATCTCTTATGATAGGTCTGGGGGGCACTAATGGGTATCTCTTAGTGGAATGAAAATGAGAACATTTCATTTTTTGAAGGACAAGTATATGAGTCTATGATGAGGTTTGTGTAAAACCCATTTGTGTCTGTGTCTGCGTCCTGATATTCAGTATTTTCCTCTATGTAATGCCCTCTAATAGCCAACAAAGCTGTGCTGTGTTAATATCTCTGTGCTGATATCCCTGTTCCCTCGATGCTGGCATTCCGGAAGACAAGAAAGCAAGCGAGAATCTGTAATGCACTGTGGTAGTTACTCCCGAGGAGCCAGAGAAATCTGGAGACAGATCAGAACACCTGGGGTCGGTCTGTCTCTGGAAGCATCTTTTAGTGTTTGGGCTGTTACATCTATGGGTTTGTGCATTTGTGTCTCTCTCTCCCTGTATGGACAGTGACAAAGTGGGATTTTTGTATATTTATCTATAGGGATATGTGTGTATATATATTTTCAAATATGGAATGCTTCGTGTATTTTTTTTTTTTTGAGGCAGTCTTTCTCTTGTTACCCAGGCTGGAGCGCAGTGGCATGATCTCAGCTCACTGCAACCTCTGCCTCCTGCGTGCAAGCATTTCTCATGCCTCAGCTTCCTGAGTAGCTGAGATTACAGGTGCCCACCACCACACCTGGCTAATTTTTGTGTTTTTGGTAGAGATGGGGTTTCTCCATGTTGGTCAGTCTGGTCTCAAACTCCTGACCTCAGGTGACCCACCTGTTTTGGCCTCCCAAAGTGCTGGGATTACAGGTGTGAGCCACTGTGCCTGGCCTTACTATTATTTTTATTATTGTTATTATTTTTTTGAGATGGAGTCTTGCTCTGTCACCAGGCTGGAGTGCAATGGCTCAATCTTGGCTCACTGCAATCTCTGCCTCCTGGGTTCAAGAGATTTTTACTGCCTCCTCCCGAGTAGCTGGATTACAGGCATGCGCCACCACACTCAGCTAATTTTTGTATTTTTAGTAGCCATGGGGTTTTACCATGGTGGCCAGGATGTTCTCAGTCTCCTGTGATCCGCCCGCTTCAGCCTCCCAAAGTCCTGGGATTACAGGTGAGCCACTGTGCCCGGCCAGATTGCTTGTATTTTCTTCCCTGATTTCCCAGGGAGCATCACCCTTAACATCAAATGGAGCTGATGAGAGCAAACATCCTTGCTTCTGATATTAGATATTAAAAACGGTGTTACATCCCCAAAGGTTTTGTTGACTTTTTCACATAGTTCTTGTAGCAGTCTATTCCTAGGTTATTGTGGGTTTTTATCATAAATGGGTGTTGAATTATGTCAGAAGCTTTTCTGCATCAATCAAGACTCGTTTTTCCATCATTTGCTAATGTGGTGTATCCCATGGATCCATTTCCATATTGTGAACCACCCTTACATTCCAGGGATAAATCTTACTTGGTTATGTTGCATCATCTTTTGAATATGTTGCTTTATATGGTTCACTGGCATTTATTTCAAGATTTTTGCATCAGTACTTACAAGGGATAGGAATGCCATCTTCACTTGCTGCAGAGCCCTGGCATGTTCTCCTTGAGACCTCATTTTTGCAGTAAGCCTTTTCATGTTCTCGGTGTGTATGTGCACCACATAGCCATCAGTGTCAACATCCGAACCACGCCTTTCCAGGCAACCGCAACAGTTGGCACTATCTGGATGTCTAGATGTTGGTCACCATGCCATGGTCAGCCTTCCCTTGCTGTCAGGTGCTAACCTGCTCTGCTACGTGGTGAGCAGCATGCTCTTTGAGCTGTTGCTGCTTGCTGCTCTGTTCCATTGTTGAGACCTAACAAACTTCGGTCCCAGACTTAGCCAACCAAAGCTGGCAGTTTCTATAAAAGTCTGGCATTTAGGAGCAGTAGTATGGGATTTGGGCCCTCTTTAAAGTGGTCTAGGGCTAGGCATTTTCACTTTGCCTTTCTATGGAGAATGAAGCTGGAACTGATGCTAGGTGTTGGCCTTGTCTTACAGGTCTGGTGGTGAGACTTTTATCTTGTGCATATTGGGAACCCCCAGTGGTGGTCATTCCTGAAAGAGCAATCATTTGAAAATGAGAAAGAAAGCTGGGGGTGTGGCTCACACCTGTAATCCCAGCATTTTGGAAGGCCAAGGCAGGTGGATCACTTAAGGTCAGGAGTTCGAGACCAACCTGACCAACATGGTGAAAGCCCATCTCTACTAAAAATACAAAATTAGCTGGGCATGGTGGTGCATGCCTGTAACCCTAGCTACTTGGGAGGCTGAAGCACAAGAATCACTTGAACCCAGTAGGCAGAGGTTGCAGTGAGCTGGGATGGTGCCATTGTACTCCAGCCTGGGCAGCAAGAGCGAAACTCCATCTCAAAAAAAAGAAAAATGAGAAGGCTGGGTGTGGTGGTTCACGCCTGTAATCTCAGCACTTCGGAAGGCCGAGGCAAGTGGATTACCTGAGGTTAGGAGTTCGAGACCAACCTGGCCAATTGGTGAAACCCTTTATGAAAAATACAAAAATTAGCCTGTATGTGATGGTGCACATCTTTAACTCCAGCTACTCAGGAGGCTAAAACAGGAGAATCATTTGAACTTGGGAGTCAGAGGTTGCAGTGAGCTAAGATTGCTCCACTGCTTTTCAGCCTGGGCAATGGAGCAAGATCCTATCTCCAAAAAATAAATAAAGAAGGTAGGGAAGCTACCATTAGATGGTGTCCTGAAGTTCACACTCAGCTGGACCTGTAAGTACCTCTGCTGCTGCCGCCACCCATGTCTCCATCTCAACACAGACCCTGATCCTCTCTCTGGGTTGTAAGGGACAACTCCGTGACATTTCTGTTTTGTTTTGTTTTTTTTGAGATGGAGTTTCACTCTTGTTGCCCAGGCTGGAGTGCAATGACATGACCTCAGCTCACCGCAACCTCCACCTCTCTGCTTCAAGCGATTCTTCTGCCTCAGCCTCCTGAGTAGCTGGGATTACAGGCATGTGCCACCACACCTGGCTAATTTTTTGTATTTTTAGTAGAAACGGGGTTTCTCCATGTTGGTCAAGCTGGTCTCAAACTCTTCTTGTGATCCACATGCCTCAGCCTCCTAAAGTGCTGGGATTACAGGCGTAAGCCCTTGTACCCGGCCACCCTGCAGCATTTCTGTAGCCCAACAAAGGTGTTAGTTCAAACATGAATAAATCCCAGTGTCCCTAAACTAGGTAAAGCATCTATTGTCATGCAGGAAACTCCTGCTATGGTTTCCATGTGGTTTGTCTTCTCCTTAGTTCATTGAAATTTGGTCCAGTGTAGTGGTTTTAGGCCTGGTGGGAGGTGTTTTAAGTCATAGGGTCGATCCCTCATGAATGACTTTGTGCTCTCTGGTTAGTAGAATATTGTTCAGGCTGGGTGCGGTGGCTCACACCTTATTACATGGCTCACATCGAATAGAATCTCCTGTTTTCAGCAAAAATTGGTTTGTTTGGGATCTATCTGCTCCCTTAAAACAATTTTGAACATGCAGCATTTAGCATAAGTGATTCCATTTCGGTTTGATCTTGCCTTTTGGGCCTAGTATAGGAGCTCAGACCAAAACAACAGCCTCCCATTGTTTAATAATGGCCAATCAGAACATTGTTAAAAATTTTTGTTTAACAGTGGCCAATCAGAAAAGGAAATTATGGGCCGGGTGCAGTGGCTCATGCCTGTAATCTCAGCACTTTGGGAGGCGGAGGCGGGCAGATCACCTGAGGTCTGGCATTCGAGACATACCTGGCCAACATGGTGAAACCCCATCTCTACTAAAAATACAAAAAATTAGCTGGGCGTGGTGGTATGCACCTATAATCCCAGCTACTTGGGAGGCTGAGGCAGGAGAATCACTTGAACCTTGGGAGCGGAGGTGGCAGTGAGTCAAGATTGTGCCATTGCACTCCAGCCTGCACAAGAAGAGTGAAACTCTGTCTCAAAACGAAAAGGAAAAGAAAAGGAAATTATGAAACAATAACATTTAAAATAGCATAGCAAAGAACAAAATACTTCAAAATAGTGTTAACCAAAAAGGCAAAACATATAAACTGAAAACTGCAAGACATTGCTAAAAGAAATTTAAAAAAGAACAAATAAATAGATATCTGTGGTACCGTGGAATATGTTCTTCTTCTTTTTTTTTTTTTTTTTTTGAGTCTCGCTCTCCCCCAGGCTGGAATGCAGTGGTGCGATCTCAGCTCATCGCAACCTGCCACTTCCTGGGTTCATGCAATTCTCCTGCCTCAGCCTCTGTAGTAGCTGGGACCACAGGTGTGCACCAGGACACCTGGCTAATTTTTTTTTTTTTTTTTTTGTATTTTTAGTAGAGATGGGGTTTTGCCATGTTGACCAGGCTGGTCTCCTGCCCTTAAGTGATCTGCCTGCCTTGGCTTCCCAGAGTGCTGGGATTGCAGGCGTCAGCCACCATACCTGGCCTGTTTTTTTTTTTTTTCTTAGTCCATTTGGCATTGCTGTGGTAGAACACCTGAGGTAATTTATTAAGAACAAAGGTTATTTGACTCGCAATTCTGGTGACCAAAAAGTCCAAGAGTGGACAACTGTGTCTGGTGAGGGTTTCACCTATTTACACTTGTGGCGGAAAGTAGAAGAGAAGCAGCATGTGCAGAGATCACATGGGAGACAGCAAGTAAGAGGACATCAGGGAAGACAGACTCTTTTTCTTTTCTTTTTTTTTCTGAGATGGAGTTTTGCTCTTGTTGCCCAGGCTCGAGTGCAAGGGCTCGATCTCGGCTCACCACAACCTCCAAGCGATTCTCCTGTCTCAGCCTCCCAAGTAGCTAGGATTACAGGCATGCGCCACCACGCCTGGCTAATTTTTGTAGTTTTAGTAGAGACAGAGTTTTTCCATGTTGCTCATGCTGGTTCGAACTCCCAACCTCAGGTGATGCCTCCCAAAGTGCTGGGATTATAGGCGTGAGCCACCGTACCTAGCTGGAAGACGGACTCTTTAATAACCCACTCTTGTGGGAACCATTCCTGTGAAAGCAATGACAGGAGGTCGGCCCACTGCAACCTCTACCTCCCTGGTTCAATCAATTCTCCTGCCTCAGCCTCCTGAGTAGCTGGGATTATAGGCGTGTGCCACCATGCCTGGCTAATTTTTGTATTTTTAGTAGAGATAGGGTTTCGCCAGGTTGGCTAGGCTGGTCTCCAACTCCTGACCTCAACTCCCCCTGCCTTGGCCTCCCAAAGTGCTGGGATTACAGGTGTGAGCCACCACACCCAGTTGCTAGACCTCATTTCTGTGATTGCACCACTGCACCCCAGCCTGGGTGACAGAATGACACCCTGTTTAAAAAAAAAAAACTGAAAAAAAGGCTGGGCGTGGTGGCTCACACCTGTAATTCAAGCACTTTGGAGGCCAAGGCGGGTGGATCACCTGTGGTTGGGAGTTCAAGACCAGCCTGACCAACATGATGAAACCCCATCTTAAAAAAAAAAAAAAATTAAAAACACGAAAAAAATACCAAAAAAAAAAAAAAAGCCTACTTATTTTTTTAAACTTTCTTCTTTTTTTTTAATGGATAAGATCCAGGAAGAACCCACTTAATTTTTTAAGGGACAGGGACTCACTGTTCCCCACGCTTTAGTGCAGTGGTAAGATCTCGGCTTACTTCAATCTCTGCCTCCCAGGCTCATGTGATCCTCCCACCTTGACCTCCTGAGTAGCTGGGACCACAGGCACATGACACCACACCTGGCCAATTTTTGTATTTTAAGTAGAGACGGGGTTTCCCCATGTTGCCCAAGCTGGTCTTGAACTTTTGAGCTCAAGGGATCCACCGGCCTCAAGCTCCTAAATTGCTGGAATTACAGACGTGAATCACCATGCCCAGCCTGGCTCATGCTTAAGACTCTAACTCCCAATAGCTTGGAGGTAAGAGTTTTTTTTTGTTTTTTTTTTTCCTCTGTCTTGCTCTGTCATACAGGCTGGAGTACAATGGCATGATCTCAGCTCACTGCAACCTCTGCCTTCTGGGTTCAAGTGATTCTCCTGCCTCAGCCTCCCGAGTAGCTGGGATTACAGACTTGTGCCACCACATCCAGCTAACTTTTGTATTTTTAGTAGACACAGGGGTTTCGCCATGTTGGCCAGGCTGGTCTTGAACTCTGGACCTCAGGTGATCTGCTCACCTCAGCCTCCCAAAGTTCTAGGATTACAGGTGTGAGCCACCACACCTGGCCACAGGTTAGAGTTTTTAATGGCAAGAGTATTGTATTCAGGTATAACCTTAAGACTGAAAAAAAAAAAAAAGTATTGTAAAGACAGCAGGAAACATACATACCACACACACACACACACACACACACACAGACACAGAAAAGGCAGGGTAAATTTCAGGAAAGCAGAGCTGCAGACAAAATCATAAATCAATACATGGATGTTTCACAGTGGTATAAGCTTAAAAGGATGGGGTATCTTGAAGGGGGAGCTCATAGGTCATAGGTAGATTCAAAGATCACATTTGTAATTGGTTAAGGAAGAGAGAAGCTTAGTTTAAAAATTTAAGCTAGGCCGGGTGCAGTGGCTCACCCTGTAATCCCAGCTATTTGAGAGGCTGAGGCAGAAGAATCCCTTGAACCCAGGAGGTGGAGGTTGCAGTGAGTTGAGATCGCGCCATCATACTCCAGCCTGAGCAACAAGAGTTAATCTCCATCTCATGAAAAAAAAAAAATTTAAGCTAGGTGCAGGGGCTCATGCCTGTAATGCCAGCAATTTGGGAGGCCTAGGTGAAAGGATCACTTGAGGCCAAGATTTCAAGTCCAGCCTAGGCAGCATAGCTAGACTTTGTCTCTTAGAAAAATTAGGGCATTAAGATTTTTTTTTAAAAAGGGCAGGGCGAGGTGGCTCATGCTTGTAATCCCAGCGTTTTGGGAGGCCAAGGCGGGTGGATCATGAGGTCAGGAGATCAAGACCATTCTGGCTAGCACTGTGAAACCCTGTCTCTACTAAAACTACAAAAAAGCCGAGCGTGGTGGCGTGCACCTGTAGTCCCAGCTGCTTGTGAGGCTGAGGCAAGAGAATCATTTGAACCCAGGAGGCAGTGAGCCAAGATAGTACCATTGCATTCCAGCCTGGGGACAGAGTGAGACTCTAACTCAAAAAAAGAAAGAAAGAGGGAAGGAAGGAAGGGAGGGAGGGAGGGAGGGAAGGAAGGGAAGGAAGGAAGGGAAGGAGGGAAGGAGGGAAGGAAGGAAGGGAAAATGGTCAAGCAGGGTGGCTCACGCCTGTAATCCCAGCACTTTGGGAAGCCGAGGCGGGTGGATCGCCTGAGGTCAGGAGTTCAAGACCAGCCTGACCAACATGGTGAAACCTCGTCTCAAAAAAAAAAAAAAAGAAAGAAAAGAAAAATGGTGTCAATAGAAAACTAATTGGTTACAGGTTTTTCTTTTGTTTTGTTTTGTTTTTGAGACGGAGTTTCGCTCTTGTTACCCAGGCTGGAGTGCAATGGCGCGATCTCGGCTCACCGCAGCCTCCGCCTCCTGGGTTCAGGCAATTCTCCTGCCTCAGCCTCCTGAGTAGCTGGGATTACAGGCACGCACCACCGTGCCCAGCTAATTTTTTTTGTATTTTTAGTAGAGACGGGGTTTCACGATGTTGACCAGGATGGTCTCGATCTTTTGACCTCGTGATCCACCCGCCTCGGCCTCCCAAAGTGCTGGGATTACAGGCGTGAGCCACTGTGCCCAGCCCAACTTTTTTTAAGCCCCTAAGGAAGAAACAGAACAAAGGTCAAGTTTCGTCTTCACTTTCTCCTTATGTAAGAGTCTTCGCTGGTGAATGGACCTGCTCAGTGGGGGTCCTCAGTGGGGTTCCAAGCCTCTGAAAGACAACTCAGGAGCATATGTTAAGATGTTATCCTTAGTTTATACAGGGAAAGGAAACACTTCTGGGCCTCTAACTTCCTGAGGTATTGTTTTAGGTCCATTACCTTCTTATTTAACAAAGTTACTTATTGGCTTCTTAGGGCTTCACTAGATGCCTAGAATTTCCTTTAAACGAACTCAGGATTTTTTTTTATTTCCATGCTTGGGGTTCACAGGCCCCTAATAAAGGGTGTCCCTACTATCTTAAAACCAAAGCAGTGGTGAGCTGTGGTGTCTCATGCCTGTAATCCTAGCACTTTGGGAGGCTTAGGCAGGTGGAACACGAGGTCAGGAGTTCGAGATCGACATAGTGAAACCCCGTCTCTACTAAAAATACAAAAAATTAGCCAGGCGTGGTGGCGCATACCTGGAATCCCAGCTACTCAGGAGGCTGAGGCAGGAGAATCGCTTGAACCTGGAAGGCGGAGATTGCGGTGAGCGGTGATTGTATTATTGCACTCCAGCCTGGGTGACAAGAGAGAAACTCAGTCTCAAAAAAAAAAAAAAAAGTGGGGTACAGGGCAGGCACTAGGATCCAGCTTTGCCCACTTAACCCACTAACTCATATGCATGCTGTCTAGACACTTACCTGGGTACACGTCAAAGTTTTCTCATTGGTCTCCCAAACTTCAGTTCCTAGCTCCAAAGAGACATTTATTTCCCTTGTCTCCCCTGCTCACACACCTCCCATGGCTCCCTAGTGCTCTCGAACACAAGTCCAACCTCCTCAGCCTGGCACCTGAAGCCTTGAAGCCCCAGTTCTGCCTGTCCCACTGTATCATTAGCATGAACAACTAGAAAAACATTAATAATTGATAACAAGAATAGCACTACTCTGTTTATTGAGGGCCTACCTGGTGCTTAGACCTGTGTCTTGCAGTTTCAAGGTGCATTCACAACAGCTTTATTATCTTTGTTTTACAGAAGGGGCTGCTGAAGTTCAGAGAACTCAAGGGACTCGTCCAAGCTTCCCAGCCTAGGTGTGAACTCAGTTCTTTCCAACTCCAAAGCTTAACCCCAACACTCTGTCCCCTCCTTGACAAACCTCTAGTGGGATGGGTTTAACTTCCTTGCCATTTCTGTCTTTTGCTCTGCTTGAGCCACTATAACAAAATACAATAGACTAGGTGGCTTAAACAGCAGACATTTATTTCTCACGATTCTTGACACCAGGAAGTCCAAGGTCAAAATGACAGCAGATTCTGTTCTTGGTGAGGGCTTTCTTCCTGGCTCAAAGATGGCTACTTTCTGGCTGTGTCCTGGAGGTGGGGAGAGGCCATGTGGGTGAGAGAAAGAGAGAGAGAAAGATAGGTCTCTGGTGTCTTTTTTTTTTTTTTTTTTTTTTAGAGATGGGGTTTCACCATGTCGGCCAGGCTGGTCTCAAACTTCTGACCTCAGGTGATCCGCCCACCTTGGCCTCCCAAAGTGCTAGGGTTACAGGCGTGAGCCACCACACCCAGCTGATCTCTGGTATGTTATAAAAAAAAAATTTTTTTTAAGAACGAAACAAAATTATTTATAATTGCCAGGCATGGTGGATTATGCCTATAATCCCAGCACTTTGGGAGGCCAAGGCGGGTCAGGAGATTGAGACCATCCTGGCTAACATGGTGAAACCCCGTCTCTACTAAAGAAACACATAAAACTAGCTGGATGTGGTGGCACGCGCCTGTAGTCCCAGCTACTTGGGAGGCTGAGGCAGGGGAATCGCTTGAACCCGGGAAGCAGAGGTTGCAGTGAGCTGAGATTGCGCTGCTGCACTACAGCCTGGTAACAGAGCAAGACTCCGTCTCAAAAAACAAAGTATTTATTATTGTTATTATTTGAGGCAGAGTCTTGCTCTGTTGCCCAGGATGGAGTGCAGTAGCACGATCTTGGCTCACTGCAACCTCTGCCGCCTGCTTCAAGCAATTCTTCTGCCTCAGCCTCCTGCCTCAGCCTGTAGCTGGGATTACAGGCACCAGCCACCATGTCCGGCTAATATTTGTATTTTTAGTAGAGATGGGGCTTCGCCATTTTGTCCAGACTGGTCTCAAACTTCTGACCTCAGGTGATCCGCCCACCAAGGCCTCCCAAAGTGCTGGGATTACAAGGGTGAGCCACCACACCCAGCCTATTATTATTGAGACAGGGTTTCGCTCAGTTATGCAGGCTGGAGTGCTGTGGCACAGTCAGCTCATAGCAACCTCAAACTCTTGGGCTCAACGGATCCTGCAGCCTCAGGCTCCCATGTAGCTGGGACTACTACATGTGCTGTGCCACTGCACCCAGCCTGGTGTCTCCTCTTCTTTTCTTTGTTTTTTTTTTTTGAGATGGAATTTTGCTCTTGTTGCCCAGGCTAGAGTGTAATGGTATGATCTCGGCTCACTGCAACCTCTACCTCCTGGGTTCAAGTGATTCTCTTGCCTCAGCCTCCTGAGTAGCTGGGATTACAGGCGCATGCCACCACATCTGGCTAATTTTTTGTATTTTTAGTATACAAAGATACAAATACAGAGGGTCTCGCTCTGTCTTAAATTTAAAAAAAGGAAAAAAAAATTTTAGGCTGATCATGATGGCTCTTGCCTGTAATCCAGTCACCTTGGGAGGCCAAGGTGGGTGCATCCCTTGAGGTCAGGAGTTCAAGATCAGCCTGGCCAATATGGTGAAACGCCGTCTCTACTAAAAATACAAAAATTAGCTGGGCGTGGTGATGCAAGCTCGTAATCTGAGCTGCTCAGGAGGCTGAGGCTGGAGAATCGCTTGAACCCCAGGAATCGGAAGTTGCATTGAGCAGCTTGACATGTTGCCACTGCACTCCAGCCTGACCGACAGAGCAAGACTCCATCTTAAGACATTTTTTTTTTCTTTTCATTCATTTTTAATAGAGATGGTGTCTTGCCATCTTTCCCAGGCTGTTCTTGAATTCTTGAGCTCAAGTGATCCTCTTCAGCCTCCCAAAGTGCTGGGAGTACAGGTGTGAACCACTGTGTCCAGCCCCTGTCCAGATTATTTTTGGCCTCTGTGTAGCATTTCTATCCCCAGGGTATGGACAGGACCCTCTTTGGAATGAGAGTCTCATGGCCCACAATCAGATTAGAGTTCTGCAGTAAGCGGGTGAAAGGCGGGCAGGAGAAGTTCAGAGAGATTCTGCTTACTGTGACAAGGACTATGGGAGTTATGAGTCAGGAACCATGGATGGAAACCAATGTATAAATTATAATATCATGGCTGATATCTTTGTTTTCTCAAAGGAATAATTACTTGCCAGTTTTATTTTATTGATTGATTGATTGTGTGTGTGTGAGACAGAGTCTCACTCTGTCATCCAGGCTGGAGTACAGTGGCATGATCTCGGCTCACTGCAACCTCTGCCTTCCAGGTTCAAGTGATTCTCCTGCCTCAGCCTCCTGAGTAGCTGGGATTACAGGCATGTGCCACCATGCCTGGCTAATTTTTGTATTATTAGTAGAGACGGGGTTTCTCCATGTTGGTCAGGCTGGTCTCAAACTCCTGACCTCATTATCCCAAAGTGCTGGGATTACAGACATGAGCCACTGGCCATGGATTTATTTTAAAATCCATATAAAGTATTTTAGAATTTTTTTGTCTTTCAGTTTAAACATCACCACAGAAGGAAAGCAGGATCTCTGCTGGTTTCTCAAACAAACAAACAAACAAATGGGATTGAAGGTGTTTTTGTCTTATTTAACCTGCAGTAGGCAGCAGAGCCTGAGGCCAGTCTGGAGCTTGCAAAGGGAGGGAAAGGGTGCTTCTTGAGCAGGCTGCCCTTCCTTGCAGGTGGCCTCCAGATCAGAACCACTCCAGAAGGAGTGCAGATTCTTTTTTTTTTTTTTAAATAAAGACAGGTTTCACCATGTTGGTCAGGCTGGTCTTGAAATCCCGACCTCAGGTGATCCGCCCACCTTGGCCTCCAAAGTGTTTGGATTACAGGCGTGAGCCACCACGCCCGGCCAAGATCCTTTTTTTTTTTTTTTTAAATATTATTTAATTTTAATTTTTACTGATTTTATTTTTTTTTGTTTTTGAGACAGAGTCTCAAAAACTCCTTGTCGCCCAGGGTGGAGTGCAGTGACTCGATCTTGGCTCACTGCAACCTCTGCCTTCTGGGTTCCAGTATTTCTTCTGCCTCAGCGCCCGGCTAAGTTTTTGTATTTTTAGTATAGAGGGGTTTTCCTCCTGTTAGCCAGAATGGTCCCGAACACCTGACCTCGTGACCACCGCGCCCCCCCGCCCCCCCCACCCCCCCGCCCCCCCCCGCCCCGCCTCAGCCTCCCAAAGTGCTAGGATTGCAGGCATGAGCCACCGAACCTGGTCAGGAATGTGGATTCTGAGAAGCTGCAGAACTGTGAAAAGCAGGAGACCCATGTGCAGTTGTGGTTGGGTGGGGGCGGAGGGTTCTGTCTTTTTTGAGGTTGCACCTCTGGCGCCTGGCGTCTGGGACCATTTTCTGGGTAGTGTTTTGGTTTTGGCATTCATGGGGTCGCTGGGGTCAGGCTGTAATCTGCATACATGAAGGAAATCTGTGAAGGTCGGGCTCAGAGTTGTTTGCGTTGTCCCCTGGAGAAAAGGTTTAGCAACATGACGTTTATTTAGGTCACAATCTTACAATGACTCCAGGTGAGAGTTTCCTACTGGTACAAATAAATGAAGGTTTTGAAGGAAAGAGTGTTTTTCCACACTGTCAGGAGGGGACTGGAGGGCACCTTGAGCTCCCAGAGTTGAATTCTTAAGTGTCTCTGTCTCATCACCAGCTTCTGATCCACTCTGGGATTCCATTTCTGCAGTTAAAGCCTGGCTTCCAAGCTTGGGAATTTTTTTTTTTTTCCTTTTTTTCCTGGGTCTCGCTCTGTCACCCAGGCTGGAGTGCAGCGCTGTGATCTCGGTTCACCGCAACCTCCGCCTCCCGGGTTCAAGCGATTCTCCTGCCTCAGCCTCCCGAGTTGCTGGGAGTACAGGCACCCTCCCCGCACCACCCCGGCTAATTTTTCTATTTTAGTAGAGACGGGGTTTCACCAGGTTGGCCAGGTTGGTCTTGAACTCCTGACCTTAAGCAATCCACCCACCTTGGCCTCCCAAAGAGCTGGGATTACAGGCGTTTGGGAATATTTTGGACCTTATGATTGTGGGTTTTCCTTGTGAACTGCGGGTGAAGCAGGCTGCTTGTCTGAGCTAGTTCAAATGTTTGCTTTACTTCTCTTGATTTTTTTTTTTTTTTTTGAGATGGAGTTTTGCTCTTGTTACCCAGGCTGGAGTGCAATGGCGTGATCTTGGCTCACCGCAACCTCCGCCTCCTGGGTTCAGACAATTCTCCTGCCTCAGCTTCCTGAGTAGCTGGGATTACAGGCATGCGCCACCATGCCCAGCTAATTTTTTGTATTTTTTTTTTTAGTAGAGACGGGGTTTCACCATGTTGACCAGGATGGTCTCGATCTCTTGACCTCGTGATCCACCCGCCTCAGCCTCCCAAAGTGCCGGGATTCCAGGCGTGAGCCACCGCGCCCGGCCTTCTCTTGATTTCTTTACAGATGATTGCTGTCATAAAAACTCCAGTTTTCCTATGCATTTAATAATTTCATTTCTTTGTTGGCATTTTAATGTTCTCACCTGAAAATGAGTAGACTGGGTACACATGGTATGATAAAGCCTTAGTAATGCTGGCAGTAGCGTCATCCCAAAACCTGACCCCTGGAGGATATCAAGCCCTCTCCTCCCTTCTGTTTCCACTATGGCCTGGGTGCGTCTCCTGCTCTGAGGCCAGGGAATGGCTCCACTGGACACGGAGTCTGTCATTCCTTGTGCACACTTGTGACTGACTCGGTGTCTGTGAGGAAGAAGCAAGAAAGGCACCCTAAATGCAGAAAAACGCCAGTATCCGCTCTGCAGAGCCTGGAACACTTTTTGCTTAAATGCAAATATCCTCCCCCGCACCGAAGGTTACTGAGGGTGGAAGTCGGGCCTGCGAAGGCCAGTAGCCAAGACCCTGTCAATCTGGTTTTACTCAGCCACATACAGCATTGCTCCTCCTGTCACTCAGTGCGGAGGGGGCATGGCTTAGAACATCATCCAATCAGGGGCGCTGAGGCGGGGACCTGCAAACCATCCAATCAGGAACTCTGCAAGGGGGACGGGGGCAACGTTCAACAACTCCGCGTTGTCTTCCTGTCTCGGGTTCGCGGCGCTTGGGTTCCGTTCTCCCCTTCTCCAGTGGCCCGGGTGGCCCCACCGCAGCCTCTGCCGCGCTGGGACCTGCACAGGCTGGAGAGAGCCGTAGGCAGGACCCCGGGAAACCTTGGAAGCCGGGAAATGGTGCGTGTGCTGGGCCGGGCGTCTGGAGACGGGGGGAGGGGCTAGTTGGAACCGGCCGGAACCGGCTGTGGAGGCACCCGGGCCTCCCTGCGGCAACTCCAGGGTCTGGGACCGGAGTTCCTCTGGCGCAGCTAGGCCCTCTGTCCCCTCTGCCGCTGGGTGGGGCTGGGTCGTAGCCGGTATCCCGGGCGTCCTGTCCAGGCCCTGCGCGGCGACTGCGGCCCCAACCTCGGAGCCCTCTCTGGACAGCTCCGCGCCCGCAGCCCCGCCTCTCCCCAGATTGTTCGGAGACACGAGAGGATCGCAGGGGGAATCCCACCTCGCCTGTGTGGTTCGTGCGTGGGAGGAGCTGTGTGCTGTGGTGTTCCCAGTCCATCCTTTTTTTTTTTTTTTCCCGGGGGACCGATATCCCTCCGAGTCTTCCAAATGTACTGGAAAAAGAGTCTCAAACCTACGACTCCCGTTTCTTAGCCTCGGTTTTTCTATGGCTGGGAGTAAATCCCTAAGTTTCAGGTTCCTTCCCCGCATTCCCAAAGGTGACTTCCCCTCTTCATATCACAACATTTATCAACTGTTTTTTTGTTGTGTATTTTAGGCACAGTATTTTGGTTGTTCATAGCTTTTTTCACCATCCTCTTTTGAAAGGATTTGTTTTCTGTTTGTGGACTTTTTTTTTTTGAGACAGCATCTTTGTCGCCAGGCTGGAGTGCAGTGGAAAGATCTCGACTCACTGCAACCTCCGCCTCCCGGGTTCAAGCAATTCTCCTTCCTCAGCCTCCGGAGTAGCTGGGATAACGGGCATGCGCCACCATGCCTGGCTAATTTTTGTGTTTTTAGTAGAGACAGGGTTTCACCATGTTGGCCAGGCTGGTCTCAAAACTCCCGGCCTCACGTGATCTGTCCACCTCGGCCTCCCAAAGTACTCGGATTACAGGCATGAGCCACCATGCCCGGCCTCTTGTTTGTGGACTTTTAACTTGAGAGGGGATCGGAGCATAAAAACCTGATACTCTGCGATAAAAAAATTTTGTGCTTCCCCTCCTTTTATCTTTGCTAAGCCCCGAAGCCTAATCAGAATGTCTTTGGGTGGAATTTCCCCTTTGGAAACTTTACTTGGTGATGTGACCCTCTATCTTTTCCTGGTCCTGAGTTTCAGAACTGCATGGGCCTGACCCAGGATGCCCACAGCTGCCACTTTTGGAGGATCTAGTGATTATCAGCCCCTGGGTCACTCCTCCCAGAGGACAGCCTGAAGTGTAGGGGTGGGGCTTCTTAAGGGAGAGCTGGATACGCTGAGGTGGGAGGAGTCTCCCGGTATCCCTTTCAGCTGAAAAGTTTACCCTTTGGGACACAGCTTTTCTTCCCTAACCCCAGTTTTCATTCCTTAGGGACCCATTGATGGTTAGCCAATCTTAGGCTGTTATTGAGAGGAAAAGACACGAACGATTCCTGACCTCCGGATTGTTTTAGTCTAGTGAAGGGAGAAAGACTATCCCAAAGGAGAAGGAAAACTCACCCCATTGAAATGGTGCAAGAACCTGAAAACTAAAATACACTAGGGGCAGAAAGCAGGGCACAATTCACTGTCTTTAAGGAGGGCTGTCACTGAGCACTCAGCCAGGATGGGGCTGGGGAGATGTCCTAGGTGATAGGGTGAGCTCACCTGACACTGGATTCAGATAAATGTCTGTATTCCAGGTCAGCACTGCCTCTTCCTGGGTTTGTAAACCCTTGAAAAGATTTATTCGCTTATTTGATCCTTTTTTCAATACATGTACAATGTATTTTATCATTAGCACTTGAAAAACAAGTTAAAATGTTTACAAAGGGGCAGAAAGTAGATTTGAGGGAAAACAATAATCTAGTCTTACATTCGATTTGTTAAAAAGTCTTATTTATCTATTTTCTTTCCCATAACGTGTGGTAGGTTTCTGAGGTCTGTTTTCTTCCTTTGGGTGATTTCAGATTAATTCCAGGTCTTAGCCTTTAGAATGCTGCTGGGGATGAGAATCTCAGAGAAATAGGGAAATTCAGTCTTCCATTATGGCTAGAGAGAAACGAATACATTTTCACAAGAAAGTGTGGTAGATAAATTGGTGAAATACAGAGATTCTCTAAAATAACTTCTCCTTTGCAGGGTAGAGATTTTGTAGTAATGCATAACTGTTATGTATCCTTTCATCTGGACGTTGGTGATTAATGCTAAATCCTGCCAGAATGGGACTTTGAAATATTAAATATTGGTGAATTATATATTAGTAAATTGTCATGGAAGCAATAATTACGTGACATGTTTATTGTCTGAAAGGGATAAATACTTGTGCTTTTCATGTTTGCACTATAGCATACAAATGTTTTGCAGTTTCCTTTCCACCTATATATATAAGCCGTGAGTTTGAGTGATTTTGATGGAGTCTTTAAATAGGATATTTTCTTGTCTAAAAATAAGTGAATCCACACACGGTGGCTCATGCCTGTAATCCCAACACTGTGGGAGGCTGAGGCGGGCGGATCACCTGAGGTTGGGAGTTGGAGACCAGCCTGACCAACTTGGAGAAACCCTGTCTCTACTAAAAATATAAAATTAGCCAGGTGTGGTGGTGCATGCCTGTAAACCTAGCTACTTGGGATAGTGAGGCAGGAGAATCACTTGAACCTGGGAGTCGGAGGTTGTGGTGAGCGGAGATCGTGCCATTGCACTCCAGCCTGGGCAATGAGAGCAAAACTTGATCTAAAAAAAAAAAAAAAAGTAAATGAATAGCCTTGTCTGGGGAAGCAGAGGTCTGAGGCAAAGTGTGTCTCAGAGGGACTCCAAGCTAAGAGCCTGCAAAGGGAGTTGATTGAAGTCCCAGTTGGTTCTTCCTGGGTAGAAGTTGCAGGTGCCCCAGCCTGATCACTCCAACCAGGGGAGGAGTCCTTTATACTGAGAGAATCGACAGACCACTGGGAAGCTGGGAATCCACACGTAGGTGTGGTTGGGAAGGTGATGTTACGTCTGAGGTTGTAATTGTTATTGTTCAGATAGTAACAAAAAACCATGGGCTCCCATGATTTGAGAGAGCTGTTTCTAGACATCCTCAAATACAAGAAATCTGGAATTAGGTAAGAAGTGACTTTATTTGAAAGGACTATAACAAAAAGGGGGAAATCAGCAGATGTAAGATCTGCAAGCATCCCAGACGTTAGACAGAAAAAGCCTTTTCTGGTGGGAAGTCGTGGCTTACACCTGTAATCCCAGCACTTTGGGAGGCTAAAATAGGAGGATTGCTTGAAGTCAGGAGTTTGAGACTAACCTGGACAGCATAGTAAGACCTCCTCCCTACAAAACTAAAAAGAAATTAGCTGGGGATGGTGGTGCAAACCTGTAATCCCAGCGGAGGCCGAGATGGGAGGATCCCTTGAGCCCAGGAGGTCAAGTCTCTAGTAAGCTGTGATTGTGTCACTGTACTCTAGCCTGGATGACAGAGCAGGACTGTCTCCCCTCCTCTCCGCCTAAAACAGTTTTTCATTCATAGGGAGGAACAAATAAGATTTGGAATAGGTGGGGGCAGGGGGAAGGGCAGAGTGGAAAGTGCAAAATCGGATCCTGAATTAGAGAACGTTTTATCCTGAGGTTAGCCTGTTCTTAGGGTGGGTCATAAAGGAGGGGTTGGGTGGGTGCTTCCTTAGGCTGTTTAGCGTGGGTCAAAGGGAGAGAAACTTAACCAAAAGTTTGATTTACAGATATTTTGTTTTGACTGATCAGCGAAGACAAAACTGTCCAGCCAATTGTTTGTGAAGTAAACAATGGGAATTTGGAGAGTCTGTCTGGCTTTCTTGTAGGTAAAATAAGGGACATCTTAATTAGGAATGGGAAGGGTGTTTCTTTTTTTCCCCCCAGTAGCCTGCTTCTCTAGAACACCAAGGGTGGTGGTGGTGGAGAGTGCTTTAATCATAGGTATCCTGCGGGATTACAGAGTTTGGGTAAAATTTCACATTGTCGTCAGTTTGGGTTTGTATCCACCGAGTTGGTTTAGCCAGAGTGTGATTTGTGCAGATGTCTGTGAGGGTCAGACTTAATGAAAGACACCTTTGGTTTCTTTCTACTAGAGGAAAGGTTTATTAATTTAAGAGTGTATTTGTTCTGTGGTATAATAAATATGTTTTGTGTTGTCTGCAGTTCCTGAGACAGGTATCCTAAAACGCTTGGAATTTCCCAAGTGATAGGTGGAGTGTGTTTTGTTATTTGCAACAACCCCCTTTCAGAGTTGAGTTTCTTTTTTTTTTTTTTTGAGACAGAGTTTCGCTCTTGTTACCCAGGCCGGAGTGCAATGGCGCGATCTCAGCTCACCACAACCTCCGCCTCCTGGGTTCAGGCAATTCTCCTGCCTCAGCCTCCTGAGTAGCTGGGATTACAGGCATGTGCCCCCATGCCCAGCTAATTTTTTGTATTTTTAGTAGAGATGGGGTTTCACCATGTTGACCAGGATGGTCTTGATCTCTTGACCTTGTGATCCACCCGCCTCGGCCTCCCAAAGTGCTGGGATTCCAGGCGTGAGCCACCGCGCCTGGACACATAGTTGAGTTTCAAGCTAATGAGGTGACTCTGGAACTCTTGGATACTTTCAGAGTGGAGACTGGTGACCAGAAGCACCAAACCTGTGACTAGAAGATTGTCACTTTAAGCTCCAGCCCCCCACCTCAGGAAAGAGCAGAGGCTGGAGATTGAGTTGTGTAAAAATTTTTGAGCAAAGACATTCAGAGAGTACTTTCAGGTGGATGAGGACATTGATGTGCTGGGAGGGTGGTGCACCCCAAGAAGGGGAGCATTTCCTATCCACTCCCCTTTCCTTGCCACTTACACCTCTTATTTGCCTGTTCCAGAGTTATACTTAAGTAAAATGTTTTGTTGAGTTCTTTCGATAGTTTTAGCAAATTATTGAACCCAAGGAGGAGATTATGGGAGCTCAAGATTTGTACAGTTTTTCAGAAGTGTGGGTGGCCCTGTGACTTGTGACTGG